TTCTCACTGTCAGAAAATTTCTCCATAGTTCTAGGTTGCTTCTCTCTTTGATTAGTTTCCACCCATTGCTTCTTGTTCTGCCTTGGAAAATAGCTTGACTCCCTCTTCTTTGTGGCAGCCCCTGAGATATTGGAACACTGCTATCATGTCCTTCTCTTTGTTAAACTAAGAGTGCCTTATTTTTCATATGTATTTGGATAAGCTGGCTGAAAATTCAGGAGTTATAGTCCTAAAACATCTCCAGAGCATCTGGTTGGGACACCGTTTTGGAATTAGATATATACAGAAGCACTCTTTTATTTCTTAAAAAGTGGGGGGGGGGAGAAGATGTTATTACCATTGTATGTTAACAATGATTCATAAACTTTTTAAAAAAAATATGATTGTTACCTTAGCTCCTGATCTTCTTCCATATTTTCTTTACATTCTTCATATACTTCTGGTATAGAGAGAGGATGACTAGTTTGAGAAGCTTGGGTTAACATTTCTATATCACTTTCTTTTGTCAAAGGCATTTTCTTTCTAGTATTCTTCTTTGGCTTAGAAATGCCTTGCTCCTTATTTTCTTCTTTTGAGAGAGAGGATAAAAATAATATCAATTAAGTGTAACGTATAAGAAACACAGCTGTTTAATAAATGCACTTACTAAATGAAAGTGAATATCCTATTGATTTAATTACAAATATTATATACAATATGATGCATAATGTATACAATTCCTATTAATATAGGACTTAAATTAAATGTTCCCTGTGGAACATCATTCCTACTGGAAATGATGAGATTGGCCCCCATTTTAACACTCTTTCACAAGGCCCCAAAGAACTAGTTTTGCAATGGGCCTGGGGACCCCAGAGTGGGACGGAGCCCATCAAATGTCTCATTTGATTGTTGCCAAGGAGGTGGGGATTATTGCTTTTTATTGCTTTTATAATTTATGTTTATTATTATTTTGTTGCTTTGCATGTATACTGGGAGCTTCTTTACCTGAAACAAATTTCTTGTGTGTGTAATCACACTTGGCCAAATAAAATATTCAATTCAATATATTGGGGTTTTATCCATGTAAACCATCCAGAGTCATTGAGAGTGGGTTGGACAGCCATGGTTTTCTTAAATTAAATTTTAAAATTTTCATAAATAAATAAGCAAATAAACAAATAACCTATGCTCAATTTATTAAAGCATAGACCAGGGGTCTTCAAACTTTGCCCTTTTATGACTTGTGGACTTCAACTCCCAGAATTCCTCAGCCAACATGCCTGGCTGAGGAATTCAGGGAGTTGAAGTCCACAAGTCATAAAAGGGCCAAGTTTGAAGACCCCTGGCATAGACTATCAACATCATTTCTAAAAATGACAGGCTTTGGATAGTACTGAATCACTGCATCTTTGGACAGATCCTTCAATTTTTCCTGTTAGGGAAATAATTGAAAATAAATAATTACTCTTTTAGTAATTTATAATATATTTGCATTTGGAGTATTCTGTTTAGTTCTGGTTGCTGTATTTGAGAAAGGATATAAAGATATAATAAAGCTGAAAAAAGTACAGAAGAGGGCAAACCAAATGATGGGGGGCATGAGATTTATAAAATCATGCTAGCATGAAGAAAGTGGGTCAAGGCAAGGGAAGGGCAGTACTGTATGTGTCTGAGTGAATACATTATTATATATGGACTGGTCAGCAATATACTTTTTTCCTATGGAAGCTGAATTTAAAGGATTTTGACATGCTATGCATGTTGTCTAAACTGCATGATGGATGGCAAATAAATTTGATAAACAATAAATAAACAAATAAATGTTTTCTTGAAAATTATTGCATTGTATTTCAAAGTGGATTGACTCCCAAATAATAGTGCAGCAGATTGCAGAGTAACTAACTCATTGTAGAACAAACGTTTCACTGAAAATAATGTTTCAAGAGTATTCAAGAAATGGAGAAACTAATATTTCTAACTATGGCCAACTAGATGTCTATAGAATACTCACAAATACACACACACACACACACACACACAGAGAGAAACATACATCATGCTATCCCTCAACAACTACAATAACAATTTTCATCACTGAAATCCTTTTAAAAGGAATAAACTGAATTTACATCACTGCATTTATTCACCGTATGTTTGTGAATTCAGCTGTCGAATGCTGGATAGATAAAATTGTAAAAATTCTATATTAAACTATTAGTTTTACTATTTAAACATTTTTTTAAAAAGTGCTTATAGCTGTAGAACTGAAAATATAAAAATGGGAAAGTGAACAAATATGAAATTAAAATGCAATAAAAAGTTTGGTTTGGACACATTCACAGTTCACAAATGTGACATGATTTTTCTATTCTAATTATTTAAAATATTACACACACAAACACACACACATTGCTGGAATATATAAGTACAAAGAAAAAACAATTGTATCTTTAAGCAAAGCAGACTTGTGAAAAACTATCTATACTTAGCAGAAAGATACTTGACTGCTTTATCATAGATTCAAACTCATTTTCTGAATTTCCATATATTTGGCTTAGTATGTTGGATGAACCCAACCATTGTGATTTATCAAATCATAACTTATTGACTTAGCATAGAAGTGGACAACCTCTGTCCTATATGTGCTTCCATCATTCCTGTTGCGACTCAGAATGTTTTGTTGCTAAAGAATTTGATTCCAATAATGAATGCCTTAATATTTAATCTGAATATTTTATGGCTCCCCCCCCCCAGTGCTTAAACTGAAGGATGTAGGAAGCTATATTGTAGCATCCAGGCAGGTATTAAAGATTTTAAGAAGATATAAATAAAATAATACAAAAGAAAAATATTTTTATGTTTCTGTCACCTGAAATCTGAGTGTTTCTTCTTTTACTCATTTTGAGGCAGCTTGGCAAATTGGAAAGGAAGTTTGAGCAGTGGTGTCAGATTTCTGTTTTTTAAAAAAAAACACATTTCTCTATTGGACATTTTATCACATTTCATGATATTTTGAAAACTGAAGTTGAAACTTCTTGTTTTAACATAAACGTTTTGAGGGTGAAGCTTCGTTCTGAGCTTGTAGGTTCATTCTCCAACCTACAAGCTCGAAGAACAAACCTTCACCCTCATCCTACACCCGAGCTACAGATATTCACCACTATTGCATAAACATTTTGGTTTACATTTTTCATGCTTCAATATTAAAGTTTGAGCTAAACAATTCTGGTACGTCATTTTTCTATTTAAAACTGAAATTAATCTTCTTAGCTTACTTTTTTTCCTCGAGGGAGTGAGGAAGAAGCTAAGTAGGAATAGCCACCCTCCCACCCCGATAAATGAAAATAAGACTTTCTGCTGGTCTAAATTGTTTACCAGCTTAATGGGATCTACTGTATTTTCTGAAAAAAATGTGAAACATTTCCTTCAAATTCTCAGTTCATTTTTTAAAATGCCCATTGTTTGTAGAGTTATGGCTTATTAGACAGGTTATGTAAAGGACTCCTAATATAATAAAACTGATGGTGTAACCAAGCATGATGCAGTGACAAATATGTGACTACAAGCCTACAGATGTAGATGAGATAATTAGATGTGGACTGAAATGTTGTAGAATTTTTCTTATTTTGTTCTTTTTTTCCACATAAAACCATTGGTAGTGGAAAGACATCCTATTAGAGAACACTTGTTGACATTCTTTGCTTTTATGCAGGTCTTCCCAGGCATTAAGCGTATAATTTTTTTAAAGTTTTGTATTCAAGAATAACATTTATGTTTGCAGCCTGCTTAAGAAAGCATCTTTTTAAATTCATTAACATTCATCTCATCAATTATTATTAAAGTAGGATTTTGTCTTTAGAACCAGTATATTTGAAAATGACTGTATTGGGCTGTTATATGCTTGGAGTATTATGTGGAGACAGATTTTGTTTCTTGAAAGACAAGGGATCCAAAAATTACACTCTTTCCATGCAGCAATTTGCCCAGGAGTATTTATAAATTATTATTATTATACGCGTAACTGATCCTACATGCGTCCAGGAGCCTAAAGCACACCAGCTGCTTAAACCGACAAAAGCTTTTCCCGCCAAATCAAAGCATGCCCTGTTTTCAACAGCGTCTTAAAGTAACCGCTTTCAGCCTTTCACTCCTCAATTAGCAGTGGCTCCTCCTATTCTATTCCTTAACGCCACGCCCCTGGATAGAAACCCTGCCTACTCCACTTAGATCGGCAGGAAGATAAACGTAGAAACAGCAGAGTTATACACCGTCTCACTTGCGGGATCTTCTCAATTCGGGGTAACAACACTTCTCTATGCCTGCGGACGCTCAGACCTAATTATTACAAATTGTTCTGCTTTCCTCAGCGAGACAAAAAAATTATTCTAGAAAGTTTTCGGTTAAGTTTTCTCCCACTCCGTTTCACTAGTTCATTTGAAGATGGAAGCATCAACTTGGACTAAATTGTAAGCTCTTTTCATCGTTGTACATTTCTTATCAGCTTCTCGATCTCGGGGTTTATGGAGAGACTAAAATTAATAATACGGAGAATGATGCATCTGTATCTAGACTTCCCAATCGGAATAATATTCAACACCAACCCTCTTTAATAAGGACAATTATGTGCGATTATTTTTTCCCCTTCTTGCAGCAGGAAACAGTTGGAAGGCAACATTTCGATTTTCAGAAACGATCTAGTTTTTTCAGCTGCGTCAAGCTTAAATCTGGAACTCTTTGAGAATGTCGGGTGCTTGGTCCTTAATTGACTGTGCCATTTTTAAGCGCTGAGCAACCTATTGCTGCCAAATAATGCAGTGATACGCCCAGGGCTCTTTTTTTGACCCTTTTAACACGATAATCCGCCAACGGCTCAACAATCAGCAATTGCATTAAAGAGAAAAAGGAGCTACGTCCGCGGACGGCTCCCAATCAGCAAAAGACTGGATGTACCGTAAAGCAGGAAAGGCATTGCCGTGACCATCAAGGCAAGGGAGCCGTAAAGGCAAGCGCGGTGTCGCGGGAGGCTTCAGGAGAGAAAGCAGGAAGTGAGTGCCTTTTAATACAAAGGGGGAAGGGGTGACATTGCCCCCCTCCCCGTTGCATTACATGTTGCGCGCGCGGGGTGTGTGTGTGTGGGGGAGAGATCGCTGCATGAAAGTTTATGGGGGGGGGAAAGCAGGGAACCCGCAAATCAAGATAATCCTGTTAAACCTTGATATTCATTTCCTTGTTATTTATGCAAGTGTCCTGTAAGCCAGAACGGTATTGTGATTCCTATATTACGGAAAGAGAAAACCGGAGTTTCCATTGAAGAACTAGGAGTACTGTAGTTCTTGTCCTGATTTGTGGTACAGATAGGCCAAATTGGACGCCGTTACTTGAGAATAAGCTCCCAATGCAAACAGAATTCGGTGGGCCTTTTTCTAATTAATATTTCAGCTGATGAGCCTCAGTATTCTACAATAGGAACACAATATGGGCTGACTTACAAAGAGAAGAATACCACACCAAGTACATAAGTAGCAAGATAATTCCTATTAAGTGTTAAATGCTGTCTGTTATTGTTAAATTTAGTTGTAGAACTAATTCTACAGTTTTAGCATAGACTGTTAAGGGGAATAAGAGGTTGGAAAGATGGTTTCATGTATGTTTCTGGAAAGTCATTATGGAATTTATTTGTAAGGATGGCTGGGACATTGAGTTTGGTGATGTATGTGTACAGTGACCCTATTCCAGAGCAAAACCAAGAAAATAAAGGACTGTCCTTTATAGTAAAGGACATATTATGATTTATTACCCAGTGATCATAAGTGTTGTTAAAATTGATACTCTACATAACTCACATCAGATACTCTTATAAATAAACTCCCATGGATTTCAACAGCATGTCAACAAAAGAATGTGGGAGATATTGGGGTGTGATGGGAAGAAGTAGGTGCTTCTTGATTTAAATGTTAGTCATTATAGATGGCAACACCTAGGCATCCTTGGCTGTTTCTGAAAAAGCTAAGAGAGTTGTACCTGGTTAGTACTTGGGTGAAATAACACCAGGAACTATGATCTAGACTGAAATTCAAAGAAAATTGGAAGAGAGGAATGGCAAAACACTTCTATGCTGTTGCCAAGAAAACTGCATGGATCTGTCTATTTACAGTACTAATTGTGAGTTAGACTGAGCTCAAAGCAGTCTTTATACTTCATTTTACAAGGTATTAATTTAACTGTCTCCTGCTGTATGAAGTCTATGTGGAGAAGGAAGTGAGAGCTGAAAACAGAAAGGGAGAGGAGATGGATGATGGGAAGGTGAGAAACAGAGACAAGAACTTATGAAAGGCTTTCTAAATATCTTTAGATCCATCTGTCTAATGCTATCTTGCACTTACTGAGGGCATAGTAAAGGAAAATGAAGAAGAACAGGAAGCCGCCACCACCACCACCTTCACGAGGAGGCAAGGGGACTGCTGCAGCCAGACAAGTAAGTCATTATACATTTCTTCTAACCTTTGATATGTGGAATCTTTAGGAAAGCCCTGACACTTGGTTCTGTCACCATCCCTGTGGCTTTGGTGATAGTGGGGAGCTTTTACAATGGCTGTGTTGAGCTGATGTAAGGATGGATTCTGCCTGTGATCATGACTATTTGTTTTACTTTGATTGTGGATGGTTGTTATATAGTTGTATATTAGTTTTTATTGGATTGTGTTTTTTTTAACTTGTTGCGAGCTGCCAGAATTGCTTAGATGAGATGGGCAGATATATAAATTGAATAAATAATAATTCCAAAACAGCTGGAGCATCATTTGAACACATTGGCACTGACCAGAAGGCGGTTTTACATCCTGCAGTACATTTAATATTATTGAAAAACAATATGTACATATCCTTGGTCCTTGGGAAGGACTCAATAGGTGGACAAAAATGCCAAATGCAACTTAAACATCTGGCTGACTGTGCAAGCTGCCATAATATCTCTTCCAAATCCCTGTTGTCCTATTTTTGTTGCCTATAGGTCAAATCTTCTCTCTCAGGAAACTTTATAGCAGGGGTGTCAAAGTGCCAGCCTGCGGGCCAGTTGCATCATACGGAGGCTGTGCCCATCCCAGCTCCGGCAATGCAAAAAAATGTTGCAATACGTCACGACATGTCATGTGACGCAGCGAGTTTTACACCTGTGCTTTATACCATAGGAAATACTGCAGTGCTCATCACTGCCAATTGAAAGTGATGTATGCTTTTTATTATCATGACTTTGGAAAATGTGATCTAATATTGCCTTAAATTGCCCAGCAGAAATCCAAGCATTGATTTCTGCTGTACCTTGTACAGGAAGAGATGGTATATTTTATGAAATCTCATGCTATCAAACAAGATTCCTAAATTCCTAATCCTAACAGTGTGACTCTATTTACTCTTAAATGACAGCTTAAATGACAAATAAAGCTTAAATCCCAATACAGCTATGCTTGGAGTTAGTTAAAAAAGCACCACAATATAGTATTTCTTTTTCTTAGGTCCTGAAAAGTTGTTGAAAAAAATCTTATCCAATGACATAAATATAGTGATGCTGATATTAAATGTCACGGGCCTTTTAATTTAGAGCAGACCTGCATGAGTTGTGGCTTGAAAAGACAATTGATATATTAAAAATAATCAATTAAAAAAGCTTGTGCTCAGATCAGCTGTTCAGCAGCTACGGTACCAGAGTAATGACAGTGATTGAGCTGGTGGTGTCAATAAGGCCTGGAGGCATTGGAAACACTCAGCAGCATACCTTTTGAGTGGCTCCTAATGACTGCCATTATTATTACAAAAAAAATCTTTTGTTGGGACAGTTTTTCACCCAATTTCCCCACATTAACATCTGCAATTTTATGCATGTAAACAATAACTTCAAAGTTTTCATTAAACCTATCTTTCTTTTTGTACAGCATCCAGCTTTACTTAATAAAAACTTTAGTAAGATCTTTGCTCTCTCACAGAGATGCTAGTTATTTTAGAGATCCTATACCAGATCAAGCCATTTTGTTCCCAAAGAAGCCAACTGAGTGCTAGATGGAAGGACTGAGTATATACTCTTTAGCAACTGGTATTTCCTATAGCAGAGGAATTAAACATAATGATTGATAACTGTTGACAATCTTATGCGTGAACTGACCTGTAAGAAAAGTTGGCTACTGATAAAGCTACATTTTAGGATAATGAATTCCACAGTTTAACTGTGTTCTAGATAGCAAATTATTTTCTTTTATATGTCCTCAATCTCCTTCCCTTGAAATATGTACTAACATTTCCTTAAAATAAAATTAGCACCATAAGAATGTATCTATGAAGCAACCTCTAACTTGGTTGAATCCTATTATACAGATGGGTTTGCTGTTGGATTTCTCTCCTGAAAACATGATGGCTGGCGATGGAGAGGATAATCAAGAACTGGAAGCTGAATTCCTGGCCATTGTTGGAGGCCAACCAGATCCCAAAGAGAAGCGAAACGGAAAAAGTAAGTGGACTCTAGAGTTTTATGGGGTTGTTATGACTTAAAAGTAGTGATTTATGAGGTCTACGAAGTGGATATATGATTTTTTTTTTTAATTGCTGCTGGTTTCTTGCATCTTTCTGGAATGTTATTATTGGTATTTTTGTGCTGGTCTCTTCCAAACCAGCTCAAGGTGGCCTACAATAGAAGTAGAGATCAGAACAATAAATTGTAAGTAATACAATCTTGAGCTGATTTCACTTTACACCTTCTACACTTATGACTGCACCCCCACTCATCCCAGCAATATTATTGTTAAATTTGCAGATGATACAACAGTGGTGGGGCTTATCTCTAAGAGGGATGAGTCTGCCTACTGGGATGAGGTGGAGCAGTTAGTCTTGTGATGTAGAGACAATAATTTGGTTCTCAACACCACTAAGACCAAGGAGCTTATAGTAGATTACAGAAGGAATAGATCAGACATTCATCCCCTGATCATCAGCGGAGACTGTGTGAAGCGGGTGGCCAGCTTTAGGTTTCTGGGTGTTACCACAAAGGAGGACCTGACCTGGAGTGCTCATGTTATAGCATTGGTTAAGAAGGCCCAACAGAGATTATATTTCTTGAGACTTCTCAGGAAACAACAACTGAATGAAAACTTCTGGTGACCTTCTACCGTTGCTCCATAGAGAGCATTCTAACTTATTGCATTCGTGTGTGGTTTGCTTGCTGCACAGTAGCATGTAGGAAAGCGGTCCAGAGGGTCATTACCATTGCCCAGAGGATTATTAGCTGCCCTCTCCTCCTCCCCAGACGAACTGTACAGTTCCCATTGTCTTAGGAAAGCTCAAAATATTCTTAAAGACTCATCTCAACCTGGACATTCTTTTTTTGAACTATTACCATCTGGCAGATGGTAATATAAACAAAGACAAATAGGCTGAAAAATAGTTGTTATCGCAGAGCTGTAACCATTTAAATATCACTGTATAGTGCAACATTGAAGTAAATAGAATGTGAAGGATGTGTGTATATAATGCATGTTCTTATTTGTGTTTTTTACTTGTATATTTGAAAATGACTGGTAAATAGAATGTGAAGGATATGTGTATATAATGCATGTTCTTATTTGTGGTTTTTACTTGTGTGTAGTGTGCACTGTGGACAGCACTTAATTTCGTTGTGAGTTACACAGTGACAATAAAGATATTCTGTTCTATTCATGGCACATGAGAGTGACTGCTGGTTGATGCTGCTACTTTTTCTTTCTTAGCTCCTTTGCCAATGGAAGCTATTGAAAAAATGGCTGCCTTCTGTATGAAGGACCTTGATGAAGAGGACGGGGCAGAAGAGGAAGATTTAGAAGATGATGATGAACTAATGGTAACAATACCTTGGGATCTAGTAACACCCGGTCACTATGAAACATATTATGTTAGAGGTGGAAATGAAAGAAATGTAGTTTGGAACACGATTTAATAACACCTAGGTGCTATGTTATATCGTCAAAAAGCATGCTCTGTTAGAGGTAGAAACAAAAATTCTCTTGTTTAAATTTCATATGTAGCTTTAACAATATATTTAACAATATATTTGCCTGATTTGCAGGCTGAACTAACAGAAGTACTTGAAGAAGATGGTAAGGTCCCAGATGCTGTGATACCCACTGCTACTAAGGTGCATATTTTCATACCAACTTGGCTTTGTTGTTCTTGCTTACTTTTAAGTTGCAACTTCAAAAAAAAAATGTCCCAAAAGGTTCTTTTTCTAAAAGGCAACTAGACTTTCTCGGGATTTTTTCCTTTGAAAATATTTCACTTCTCATCCAAAAAGCTTCTTCGGTTCTAATTAATGAAGTTTCTTGGATGAGAAGTGAAATATTTTCAAAGGGAAAAAAAACCCCCAAGAAAGTCCAGCTGCCTTTTAGAAAAAGAACCTTTGGGACAATCATGACTGCATGATTGAAAATCTTTATAGAAAATAAGGAAAAAATGTGTTTTGTTCATGCATCACCATGAGTTGATTATGAACAGACACTTTTGTGAGATCTTTGATGTAAGTCATCCATGGCTCCCATCTTTCAGAGATCTTATTAAATAATATCATTGTTCTTCTCCATCCAGATTTGTTCCAGGCACTATTACAAGACCTTGACAGCATTGCTTGGCTAGCCAAGGTTGACATGTACAACTGAGTATCATCGGTATATCAATGATACCTGACCCCGAACTGATGGGCAACCTCTTGTGTAATATACACAACCACATGTAGATATTAAACAAGAGGAGCAAGGGCATTGGTACTGCTGTACTCCAGAAATCAGGGGTTTTGGACTCAAATTCTTTCCCCCTCCCCAACACTGACCTTTCACAAAGAAAGGAGGCAAACCACCATAACACTTTGCCTCTCACCACTATTCTCTGCAGATAGACAGAAAGGATACTGTGTCTGATAATACGGAAAGCTGCTGTGTGAACAAGGCGTGCCAGGATTGGTGCACCACTCCTATCCTGGCTCCACTCTTAAGTTATACTTCTGTATCTATACTAGGCCATGGCCTGAATCCTGACTGAGAGAAGTTCTGACAATCTGCTTCTCCCAGGCCCTGTGTAACTGCAACCTGACCATCTTCTCATCAGCCTTCCCTCAAAAGGAGAGGTTGAGGATTGGATAAAAAAACGTCTAGGATAATTAGATCTAGTGATGCACTCTTGAGAAGGGGGATACAATACAGGTAGTCCTCGACTTACAACCATTTGTTCAATGACCATTGAACGATGACCAGAATTACGATGGTGCTGAACAGATGGTGGTTATGACCAGTTGTTGGAGTTCCTGCCATTCCATCGCTTCTCTGGTTATATGATTGCATCTGGGCACTTGGCAACCAGCTCTTGCACTCTTCCCATCCCTTGTCACTCACACGCAACCTCCTCAACCCTTGCAGCCTCCCTTACCCTCACATCTTGCTTGCACCCTTGCATATGCCTGCACACCCTCGCTGTGCTTTTCACGTACCCCATTGTGCCCTCTCCCATCCAGCAGCAGCCCCTTGCTTGCCTGCTTGAAAGCCACCGTGGGCTTGCAATTTCCTGCCAGCATTACCATTGATTTGATTGTGGGAAGCTGACAGGAAGTTGCCTCACTTAATGACTATGGGATTTGGTTAATACTGACAAACAGGACTGCAGGGATTGTCATCACTAGACCCATACCAGTCGGGCTTCAGGCCGGGACACAGCACGGAAACGGCATTGGTCACGTTGGTAAATGATCTCTGGAGGGCCCGGGACAGGGGTTATTCCTCTGTCCTTGTGCTTTTGGACCTCTCAGCGGCTTTTGATACTGTGGACCATGGTATCATGCTGCGGCGTCTCGGTGAGTTAGGAGTGGGAGGCACTG